GGGGGGGACATGGGATGAGGGAGCTTACAATTCCAAAGGCGATGACGGTCAAGAAACCCTTGATCAAGAAAGCGATAATCAACATTGACAAGATCTCGGGAATATCATCCACCGACCTCGGGCAGAGTCCGAGGGCGTCGCCCTTGGTGCGGTCACACGGAGACGCCAAGTTGAGGAGCAGCTTTGCGACAGAGACCTTGGTCAGGGGGTTCCAATAGCTCATAAGGCCAGTCACAACCGCGACGAGGAACACCTCCAGCATGGGGTATTTCTTGATGACCTTGATTCGGCGAAACGTTTGTGCCCAGTGTTTGGATGCCTTGATGAAGAGCGCTCCCATAGCGCCTCCGACGATACCAACAAAGATGAAGGATCCCAGCTCAAAATACTCCCAATCTACCAGGTAACGGACCTCGAACATGACAATCTTGTGCGTGCCGTAGGGATTCAAGAATTTGAGGGACAGCGCGGCGATGATGCAGGCAAAGAAAGTGCGGAAGAGGGTTTTGGCCGGGAAAAAGTACGACACTTCTTCCAGACCAAACAAGACACCCCCCAAGGGAGCTCCAAATGCAACAGCCACGCCCGCGGCCGCGGCAGCCGAGAGGACCTCTCGTCTCTTGGCATCGTTGCGATCGTACTTTGCAAATAGACGACATGCGATATTGCCAACGCAAGTCGCCATGTGAACAAACGGGCCCTCTTTGCCAATGCTCAGCCCCGAAGAGACGCTCAGAATCAGCGACAGCATCTTCAAGATCAATGTTCTCAGACCAAGGAATCCGTGAAGGACGAAGCCGCTGAGGATGACTCGGACTTCGGCGACACCACTGCCTGCGGCTGAGTAGTAGACCATGGGCGGGTTTTCAGACTTCCCCTCCACCACCTGCCGGGGGCTGGCACTATCGTCACCGGGGCCTTCATCGGCAGCTCGAGGAGTCTCGGCAGCCAGGTTTTCGTCGAGGGTTGTCAAACGGTAGGCCGAGGGAACCACCGTCTTTGTCCACAGGGCGACCCAGCACGAAGCAAGCGCGAAGAGGACGACGCAGGCGACGTAGATGAGGAAATCCGTCCACTTCTCCCCGAACGGATGATAATGCAGTGCCTGGGACCATGTCTTCCAGTCTGTGCACTCGGTGCGCCCACCGGGGCAGCATCTCTGGATAGGATGTTAGTGAAGGCTCCGTGACCCATCTCTCACACCCTCTCGTCATACGCAATGCACCTACCTTTTCGTCAAAATACCACGCTCTCGAACAATACCCATCCTTGAAGTCGAAAAAGACCGATTCGGCCGCGTCGACTGTATACGCTATCAAGGCGATGACGAAGCCACAGAGGGCACTGAGAATCCATCCCTGGCTACCATCGATGGTTGTCAAGACTCTGCCCCAGAAATCCTTCCTGCTGCGAAGTGCCCTCACGCGGTAGGAATCGGCGATTGTGTCGTGCACCCAGTCGGTGCTCGTGAACTGATCGTACCACACGCGCTCGTCGGGGAAGATGGAGCCCTTGGACTCTGACATGGACCGCTCGGAGAAGGCATGGACGAGGCGTGCGCTCCAAGAGGAGCGGCGACTGTGGTGTCGAGTTCCCCGGCTGCTGTCTGTGAAGTCGTTGGATGCTGTTAGCCGACTTGAAGCTGCATGCTAACCCCGGAATCTGCTGGATAAGAGAGCCTCCTTTTCTTCTTCTCCCTCTTGCGTCTGAACATACCTCCCGAGTAGCTCTGATCGCGGGATAAATTGGGCCGTGGTGAGGCTGCCCCGCCGTGGATTCGAATACGCGACCGAGAATTGTTCAGCAGCAGCGGGGAGCGCTCGTCAGGCTCATTTGCCGAGTTCTGGCGGCGCATGGGAAAGGGACGGCGAGACAATCGGGGGGACGCGGGCTGCGACGCCGACCCGTAGCCATCTCGATCCGCCATGGCGGTGGGTTGATGGGGAAGATGTGAAGAACGCAAGAACGAGTACAGTTAAAGGAGGAGACGAGAAAATGATGGCAGCGGGAGTTATAACGGACTCATGGATGCGGTAACGGTAAGCCTCGATGGGGGGCGTGGGCTATCAAGGTCACTGCAATAGTACGAGTATCCGTAGTAGGTAGGCCTACTAATGATATGAGATGGATGCACTAGGTCAGTTGGTCATCAGGCCCTGTACAAGCACCGGAGGACCCTCGGCAAGGGGGGGCTCAGTGTCTCTGGCTACCTCCCAGGTAGTAGTACGAGTATAAATAAGACAAGGAACATAGTAGGTAGGTATCAATGACGCTTGGGAAACCACACGGAGCAACAAGCCATCAAAACGAATGGAAATAAAGCAGCTGATAACGCTCGTGATTGCCTACAAAACGGCGAGGCTGACCGTTGAAATCGGCGCGTCTCGGGGGATGCAGCGCCTATCCTGTAATTTATCCTAGCTCCAGCTTCTGGGGTCGCCAAGCGCCTCGCCTGCCGGACTAGCAACATGCGCCGCCCACTGGTGCTGAGCTATGCCACATGCATCAGCAGCGGCGCCGTCAGGTGAACTGATTGCTGGGTTTCTGTTTGACGGGCGGAGGGCTTTGGGCAGCCATGGGTCCATGCTGGGTAGGTGGTTTTTTGGCTCTCGATTTTGATGCGTCGGTACGAGGAAGATACAGAGGTAGGGACAGATAACAAACCATTACTATTCTGCTACGATAGGTGGGAGATTGGTAGTCTATGGCATTGCTGTACCTGCGAGGTAGGTAGTATTGCAACCCAAGACATGCAAAAAGGCTTTGTATGTACGAGTACATGCAAGCAGGGTCGTGGCCGCATTGTCGCAACTCGGACGATGCACGGCCGTGCTTGCGACTGGCTCGGCAAAGGGTTCGAGGGTGCGTCATCTTGGAGCACGAATGTCCAGGGTTCAGGCGGGTGGGTCGTGGATTTCATCATCCGACATGCATTGCGGGCAAGCAGCAGCCTTGCAGCAGCAGCTGGGACTGGGCCTAGAATGCCTACATGTACATACTAGGTAGTATGTACATGCAGCAACATGTGAGTGGGAGTAGCAGTACAGCTCACAGTGGACGCCGCATGCCTTGGCTGGATGTAGCAACACCATTGCCCCGGATCAAAAACAAGTACCGGGAGTCTGGAGTGGATGTCATGTTTTACTTGGTGCTCACATGCGAGAGACACAAGATCAGGAGACGCGGTCTAATCGTGCCTGTCACAAGAGCGCCACAGGCAATTAAAGCTGAGGCGGGCGGCAGCCAGACATTGTTTAGGGTGGGGGAGGCTTTTGTGTGAGCGCCGCCTCTGCTGTTGGTGGAGGGATGATCTAAGCATCTCACGTTATGGCTGCATCTTCTCCAGGCGTTGCTTGATGTTGGTGTGGGAGGGAGCATCGAGATGTACTTCTGCTGCCATTAAAGCGTTGCGGCAAATACGGGCACTAAAGTCGTATCGTGATTAAGAATGTGTCACGCCATCTATACACTCCCCCCTCTATGTCCAGCGGGCGGTATATCATGACAAGCTTCCAAGTTTATTCAGTCGTCCGTGAACATGATTCGTCTACATGATTCGCCTCCATGTAAAGCAGAGAGGGGTGTTGAGTGGTATCAGTACAAGGAAATGCAGGGTACATGTGACTGCGGCATCAGATCCTCCGGAATAGTTTAACAGCGACGTTTATTTCCCCAGACCAGATGAAAGCAAGCGTCCTTGTCCGGAGTCTGGAGTCTGAAGTCTGGAGTCTGGAGATCCCGTGGTCCTGCACGTCAACTTAAGGGTCCAAGATTTTAATGGCGGCGGCCGCGGCTGCTAAAAGGGTGGCGGACGCACGTATTTCCGGTGCAAACGCAGTGGATGCACTTCTTGCAGGTACGTACCAGGAACTCGAAAATCTTTATCTTATCAGCCAGGAAAATTTCAGAGCCCCGTCGAAAAGTTCCAGCGGCCGTAGCCATCGACGGCGCAGCGACACCACGATCAGCTTTTAAAGCAAGGTTTCACAGACTCTATTCCGTAAACGCGGATTGAGCCATTGAATTCTCCAAATACAAAGCTTTACATCTGACCATGGCGAAAAAGAGAAAGGCTTCCCGCGCTGCCGAGTCCAGCGGGCCAAAAGAGCTGGACCCGGCAGACGCTCGCCTCAAGGTCAACACATACGAAGATGTGGCCAACTCAGAAGACGAATTCTTCATGAATCGAGACACAATCATGTTCGACGACGAGCCCAACATGAAGCGCCGGAGAAAGGGCGAAGAAGAGATTGATTTCTCAGACGAAGAAGTACTAGGATACGAAGACTCAGATTCAGGAAACGAGCCCCGTCCGAACAAATCAAAACGAAAAGCCGCTGCAGGGCACGTCGATTCAGAAGATGAAGAAAACGGAGCCGAAGGAGAGGAGGGCGAAGAGGAGGGCTGGTGGGGTGCATCCAAGAAGGAATACTACAATGCAGACAACATCGAGACCGAGGCCGATGCTCTGGAGGAAGAAACCGAGGCCAAGCGATTGCAGCAGAAGAAGCTGTCCAAGATGGCGGAAGAAGATTTCATCTTTGACGGAGATGAGTGGCTCATGGCTGAGCAAGAACCTCAAGAAAGCGCAGAGACCGTGACCGAGGTTCTCAAGGAGGTCGAGATCACTGACGACATGGGCCCTGGGGAGCGGCTGAAGCTGCTGTCTGCTCGATATCCCGAGTTTGACTATCTCGTCGAGGACTTCCAAGAGCTGCAGCCCCAGCTCGAGATTCTAAGAGCAGATGCCAAGGTTTCGACCGGCAAGTCTCTAGCGGCCATCAAATACTGGGTGCTTGGCTGCTACGTCGCCTCATTGGCTAGTTACCTGGCCATCCTCACATCCCCGGCCCGAGATGCCGCTAAAGCACAGAAAACAATTGATCCTGCCGAGCTTCGTGACCACGAGGTGATGGAGACCTTGGTCCAATGCCGCGAGGCGTGGGAGCGGGTCAAGGACATGAGATCACTCAGCACCGCCGACGCCTTGGCGCAAGACATCAATTCTATCCCCGAGGTGGACGAATATGAATCAATCGTACAGACCAAGAAGGCCAAGAAGGCCAAGGAGAGTGCGGCTTCTGCGGCAAGCAAGGCCAAGAAGCTGGCAAAGGCCAAGGCCATCGAGGAGACAGTCGCCGACCTTTATGACCTGCCTATCAACACAAAATCCAAGGCAAAGAGCAAAGACGAGACGCTGCGCGATCAGGATGACGACAGCTCAGACTTTGGTGAAGAAGAAACTCTGGATGCTCGTGCAGCTGCTGACAAGGCGGCACGCAAGAAGAGCTTGAAGTTCTACACATCCCAGATTGTGCAAAAGGCCAACCGTCGTGCTGGCGCTGGTCGGGACGCCGGTGGTGACATGGATATCCCTCACCGGGAGCGTCTTCGAGACCGTCAAGCTCGCCTCCTTGCCGAGGCCGAGAAGCGAGGAAAGAGAGATTCCAAGCTGGGCGCGAACCTCGGCGAGGACAGCGACGAAGAAGACTCCAAGACTGCCAATGCACTTCGCGACGATGAAGACGAGTACTACGACATGGTGGCTCACGGCTCCAAGGCCAAGAAGGACGACAAGGCCGCTCGATTTGCCGCCTATGCCGCCGCAAGCAAGGCCGACAGGGTGGTGGAAACTGAGGTCATCGGCGAGGATGGCAAGCGCAAGATTACATATGCCATCCAAAAGAACAAGGGCCTGGCACCCAGGAGAAGCAAGGACGTGCGGAACCCCAGAGTCAAGAGGAGAAAGCAGTACGAGGCCAAGCAAAAGAAGCTGAAGAGCATGAAGCCGGTGTGGCAGGGCGGCGAGCCCAAGGGAGGTTACCGGGGAGAAGTCAGCGGTATCAATGCCACCGTTATCAAGAGCACGAAGCTGTAGAATATTTCTTGCGATTAATATGCATGTATACATTACGTTGTCCAACTCGACTTATAACTTACCAATAGATTTGCAAAGTGAACTCGGGACAACTCTAGACACCATTTATGAGCCATGAGCATATTTAAAGACTCACACAATCCCTGTTTATCGTAATATTTTATAAGATAGCACATCATTTATATAATGAAGCGTGGCAATGGACTTGTTCTTTTAATGTTCAGGTTAAATAGGCGCTGAGGTGCTAATTTAAGCACCTCCGAAGCTGTCATTTCAGCCCCACCTTCATACGAAATCACGACCTCTTACTTGTCAACTTACACTTTCGCAACTACACATTGATGATCTCCCAACTACGATAGCAATCCTGAGCTTGCAACTAGTCATCTTTGCAAATTGTCATATCCTCCAATGCCATTCATACAATAGCCCTTCAGTCTCAACCTTCGCAGCCACCGCGTAACCAGGCCGCAATGGCTGCTCCCGACGCGAGCAAGTTCACCACCTCCGACCAGATCTTCTCCGCGAGCCACACGCTCCCGCAGATTCGCTCCATTCACAAGGCCCTTCATGTCGAGATCGAGGACAAGGCAAGCCGCCTGCGCACGCGGGTAGGCGGATCTTATCGCGACCTGCTGGGCACGGCCGATACCATTGTGCAGATGCGCAACGACAACGATGCGGTCCAGGAGCTCCTTGGTAACATGGGCTGGCGGTGTGGCAGGGCGGTGGTGTCGACAAAGGTTGCTGGCATGGCCAAGTTTGTGGAAAAAGAACGCAAGTCGGATATTGCCGAGGCTGCTAGGCAAAGGTTGCTGGATGGATGCCTGTTGGTAGTCGGTAGGCTGCTGAGGGGTCGTGGAGAGCTGGACGAGAGCATCAAAACAGGCGACAGACTGGTGCTGACGGCCAAGGTGTGGGTATTGAGCCGCCTCCTGGTCAAGAGTTTAGGGACCGAGTTCCCCAGCGACGAGGCTCGACAAGTCGCCGATGCGGCCAAGAAGAAGCTCGATAGCCTGCGCCGCCGGCTCAAGAGAACCCTGGAGAAGACCATGGAGAAGGCCGGTGGCGACTCTGACAGGGACGACGTGCTAAAGGCTCTGGCTGCGCACAGTCTTGCAAATAGCTCCGGCGCCAAGGATACTCTACGGCACTTCTTTGAAGTGCGCTTCAAAGCCCTGGCAGTGGCCTTGGATTCCGAGGAAGACGAGCGTGTCGGAAGCTCAGAGGATGTGATCCAGAGCCTCACGCTCTACGCCCGAACTCTGCTGGATGTTCAGGCTTTGGTGCCAAACAAGCTCTCACAGGCGCTCAATGCCCTGACAAAGAAACCCCTTCTGGAGGACGCCTCGCTGCAGAAGCTGGAAGGACTACGGCTCGACATTTTTGAGAGGTGGTGTGGCGAAGAGATTCAATATTTTACACCCTTTATCCGGCACGACGACCTTGACGGGACGCAGGCAAGGGAAATGTTTGACGGCTGGGTTGAAAAGGGCCAACAAGTGTTGCTTCGTGGTTTGAGCAAGACGCTGGAGACCATGCAGGATTTCAAATCCATAACGGAGCTGCGGACAAGCCTTCTTCAGCTATGGATACGCGAAGGCAGTAAAGTGCGAGGTATCGATCCCGAAGAAATGCAAAACAGTCTGCGAAAGGCCGTTAATGCGCAAATGCTTGCCGTTTTGGACTCAAAGGTCACCAAGCTTCATATTGTTGGCTCCGAAATAAAGGCTACGCTGGAAAGCTGGAAAGATGGTTCGACAGGGAAAGTGCCAGGGCTATGGGATGAAGAAGGCTACGAGGATGCCCTGTCCAACGGAGCTCGCCCGTTTCTGCAAGAGGTCGCGTCGCGATTCTATGGCCGCAGTGATGCTGTGTCAAAGGCACTCAACTGTTACTACTCCTGGTTTCATATCATCGACGACGTGAAAGAGGTGGTAGGGCAACTAGAGAAGCAGCGATGGGATAACGACTTTGACGAAATCGAAGATGAAGAGACTATAGAGGCGAGACAGCAGTTGTTAAGCAAGGATGACCCGAAGATGCTGCAGCAGAAGCTAGACACCAGCCTTGATGCGTCCTTTGAAGGCCTCGAAAAGGAGATGCAGCAGCTGTGGGATGGCAAATCCGAGAGTGGCAGCAGCAGCGCCATCGCCATGTACCTGGTTCGAGTCCTGAGAGACATTCGTCGGCAATTGCCACAACGTGACACCATTAAGGAGTTTGGCCTGAGCATGGTTCCCGCGCTCCACCAGACAATTGTTCTCTCAGCGTCAGAATCTCCTGTGGATGAATTCGTGACGGCTGGACTCTCTGGGAGGATAGCAATTGGTAGACCTCTTTGGGAGGGCAACCCTGCATTACCAAATCAGCCATCGCCAGAGACTTTTCAATTCCTCCATAGCTTGTTGCTCTCTCTGTCGGCGGCGGGAGTTGATTTGTGGACTGCAGCTGCATTAGCCGCTTTGAAAAAGCATGTGAGTCGGCGGCTATGCGAAGCTTGGAATCAAGAGCTGCAGAGCAGAGTATTTGATAAGGAAGTCAAGGAAGAAAAGGAGGACGCCGAGAAGGAAGTAGAAAAGCCGAAAGAAGAGGGTGAGGAGGAAGAAAACAAGGCAGAAGAGGCCAGTGGAGAGGAAGAAAAAGAACCAAAGGAAGATGCAGAGAAAGAGGCGGAGCCAAAAGAAGATGGCCAAGGAGAAGACGGCGGAGATGCAAAGGAAGAGACCGAGGAAAAGGAAGAGCTTGTCAAAGATGAAAATGACAAGGAGGCTGAGAAAGAGGAGGACGATACGTCCAGCAATGATCAACTGCGAGATCTTTGCGTCCAGTGGTTGTTCGACATTTCTCTCCTCCGGCTCTCAGTCGGAAATGAAGCGGGCGAGACGGCAGATGAGTTCCAAAAACTGGAAGATGCAGTATATGAGCGCAGCGGCCTGGAAGATTCATCACGGCAACACGTCGGCAAGGCAGCAAAGCACTTTTGGAGCCGGACGAGCCTGTTGTTTGGATTATTGGCATGAGACAAGCAATGGCATCTTGCTTCTCCCAGCGGGCTGTCCTTTCACGACATCACGGATTAAGTACATACAATTAGAAACGTCATTCGTCATGTTTACAGCTTGTGCCTCTTCTCGCCGCTTGCAATCTTCCTAAACTCCTCCTGCGGGACTCCCGTAACGAACCTCTCCAGGCCAGCAAACACTTCGTTGAAGTTGCTCAAGTTTACAACATTCTGCTCCGGTCCCCGAATCAGCTTCTTGATGCCCACCAGGCTATCGCCAACAAGATGCTCCCCCAACCTCTCGTCCACCTCCTTAAGCAGCAGCTCTCTAAACTTTACGTCCTCGCCCTGCTTCACCTCCTCAAAGATCTTGTTGACGAAGCCGCACCGCTCCAGCTCCGCGCTCGTGATCCTCTTGCTCATGATGAGCGCCTCGTTCGCCCTCGCAGGGCCGAGCCGCGTAACCAACGCGCGCGAGGAGCCTCCCTCGGCGACTAAGCCCAGGGACGAAAAGGGAGTGAGGAGGAAGGTGTGCGGCGCGCAGTAGATGAAGTCGGCGTGGGAGACGATGGCGGCGGTGAGGCCGACGACGGGGCCGTTGAGGCCGACGACGAGGATCTTGGGGTGCGAGGCAAAGGCCTCTGTGATGTTGAGGTTGAAGGCGACGAATGTCTGGAGCCACTGCTTGCGAGCTTCGTCGGGGTCGCTGGGGCTTGTTCTGCCAATGGTGACATCTGCGCCTCTGTTCTGATGGTTAGCAACGGAATAATCACCAGTTCCTTCAACTCATTTGTCTCTTTTTGTTTTCTTCCATGATAGATTTTCTTTTCTCATGATGATACGGAAACATGTATGGACATAATAGAGGACACTTGATATAGATAGATAGGAGAATAATAGAGTCACGTACGCTGAAAAGAAACGGCCCTTGCCGAGTAGAACCGTGACAAACACCTCGTCATGCTTCGCCACCTCCCTCAGCGCCTGCGACAGCTCAAAGTACTGCGCTTGGTTCATCGCGCCGAGCTTCTTCTCGTTGGCGATGGTGATGACGGCGACGCGGCCGCGGTATTCGATGGAGATTACGCCGGACGACATGATTGCGCTGGCTTTATTTATTCTTGATATCAATTTCTTTTAACGATAAAAAGCGAGACTTTATATAACGAGATAGTATAATTGGTATAGCAATCAATGACTCCAAGGGGAAATCGCAAAAGAAAGAAAAAGGCAATGATTCTGGTTTGTTATATATATGTAAGTAAGACTGGAGGTGAGATGTGAGATCCCGGCGCTTTTACCCCAGACATACCGAGGTCTACGGGTAACATTTCTGCGGGGCATCGAAACGGCTTGAGATCCCGCTGTGTGCCAATTTCGTGCGATTTGCATCTACCCTGTCAATCTAATGAATTTAAGAATAATTCATAATGATTTCTTCGTCTCTTGTTTTCTCACGGTAGATTGATGTGGTTCAATGGCTGGTGAATGCGAAACAATGTATTTGTGAAAAGACGCCTCTATGCTGTGAGAGCAGTCGCACAATGGGAAATATGTATATATATCTCACAGCGCCCGCTCGTAGAATCAAAACTCCCCCCATTTGTAAGAAACTCACATCTCTCAGTCTTCCAATTACTTTTTTCAGGTCCTTTGTACACATTATATCCCTCATCGACGCGCTCTGATCTGCCGCTGTTTCGGAAAGTCTAGTGGTAGCGCAAGCTTCGCAATGTGCAGCATTCGATCCTCCGCCTTGTCCTTTACAGGCTTCACCCTGGCTCCAATCTCGTGGAAGTACTGGTTAATCACCTTCTGTTCTATCCTCAGGTCGTCTCTCAGGTTCTGCGTGTCCACCTCAAAGTTATCGACGATGCAAGCAAGTGCGCAGCAGTGCGCGATGAGCAGGTCAATGTGGAATTTCCTCAGCTGGCCGCCATCCGAAAACTTGCGACGAATGTTTTCAACGACCGCCTCAGGGGCTGGGGCGAGCAGCTCCCGGAGCTTATCTCGGGGCGGCGCCTGCCGAGTGCCCCTTTGGCGGCCGGGTTTGGAGTAGAGATAGAACAGGAGGACGATGGAGAGGTATCTGAGCACGCGCAGCCGCATCTCGGCAGATTCGTTGGAGGCAATGGCTTGCACGCGAGAGACGACATAGCGGGAGCGGAACTGTATGCTCTCGCCATGTTTCGCCTTCTCCTGCCATTCTCGAATAGGAACAAGATTGAGAATATCTGATCCGATGATTTCCTCGGGGCGGTATACGTCGTAAATGTCTTCTGCGTCGAGATTCGCCTTGGGTACCGGCTTGGCTTCGTCGATGACTGCCTGCAGCTCTTCTCTTGAGGCCATTGTGGATGTGACTGCACCGATGGAGTTGAGAATAGCCTTGGAGGCGTCGTCCAACTTGGGCGTGCTGAAGTCGCCAGGCTTTTTCTGAGGAGCGATGGCGTTCAACACCTTGTCTTGGATAACCTTCTTGGCCTTCTTCGTTCCGAAAGTCTGTCCAAGATCTGTCCTCTGGTCCATGATGCTCTGTTGTACGTTAGTATTTCGCATTGTATCTCCAGAAGATTTCGTATCGAGAAGTGAACCCTTACCGTCTTGGCTTCCGTCTGATCTGTAGAAGTTGGCACTTGTTTAGAGCGAACGGCGCCTCGTACAACCATCTTCTTCGCTTCGACAACTTGCAGTTTGCCAGTCTTGGGATCGTAGATGCCGATGAAGTGGTTCAGAAGTGGCTTTGAATCGGGAGACTCTTCTTCCCTTGCCGTATAGTCCAGATTGCGGTGCGTCGTGGAGTGCAACAGGAGTGCCTTGTCGGCTGCCTTTTTGGACTTTGAAGAGGCATTTTTGGGAATATATGAGTTAAAGACCAAATTCGAGGGCATTTCCATTCCCGGAGTGTTTGCTACATGGATTGTCAGCTGATGCGCCATGGTAACAGTTCGACAACACATTGCGCCGCATACCAATCACAGGAGGGCATGATTTGGGCCGGAGAACGGAGGAGACGGTTGCAATTGAAGCCGGTGCGTCAATGACGACCTTTTTCTTCGCAGAACCAGCCTTTTCCCCGTCTCTCTTTCTCTTCTTGTTGCTGAGATCCGACATTTTTGCGTTGAGCGTCTGCAATCGTTCTTCGACCTGAATTTGATGCCAAGTGGGATATCTGCTCCAAAAAAATTTGGTTATCGGGCGGCAGGAAATCTTTCGCCGGCATTTACCCGGGTGGGCGGTGAGAGACGAAACCCCACACAGCTCAATTCCCAGCAATGTACGTCACTAATTGGCAGCAGGGGGAGCATAGCTGCAGAGCTCCGTCGGTAGCAAGGTGCCAGCTCGCACACAAACTGTATTGGAGAAATTAGGTCACACGAGCATCATAGCTTCACCAGCTCGATTGATGCTTACGAGGAAAGCAATTACGACCAAAATACGTCACGTAGGAGCTTTAAAATGGTTTGGAAATGAAGTAAATTCTGCTTTTGTTCTTGTCAAGCAACGTATCGATCCTAGGCGTGCCTTGTGCAGCAGCTTTTTGCTTCATGGCCTTCGCGTCCTCAAAACGATGTCTCCACCTGGCTGAAATTGTCCAGTCCTCATCTCCCGCGTTCGTCCATTGACTCCCGTAGCTGAATTGACGAGATGCACCGATGAGCTGATTCCAACTTGAAGGTCGTAATCGTTCATAAAGTATCGTGGTGCAGCAGCTTTGTTTGTCGTTTTTTTATCGTGAACTCATTCAAAATGTGAAAGATGTGTCAAGTCAGGTAGTAGAGCGAGTCGTTTATTTGCTAGTTATCCAGTTAGCTTCGAGCTTCTTGTGCAGCGGCGACAACAAATTGAATGGAACTTACGAGCGAGCCCTCATCTTTCTTCTCTTGCGCTTAAGGCGACGAACGCGCTTCTTCCTCCATTTGGCTCTCATCTTGAACGATGCGTCTGGGAGCTCTTATTAGTGGGGGGTTCCAGCAGCAAGGCGGCCGGCGTTCGCATCAGAGGAGGCATTGGCACAACGCCAATGCCATCTCTCGATGCGAAATGCCTTCGAATGCGCCGCAGGGGGAGGGTATCTTACTTGTTCTTTGATGAGAATCGTTGTTGGGATGAGGTACAAGAAAGGAACTTTCGCGAGAGCGGGGGAATTTCAAGCACTTTGACAAGGCTGCTGTAGGGCACAAACCCCCCGGGTATCACGTGGGCCCCTCACTGAGGCCCGTGCATGAGCATCAGGATACACTGTGCAAATGATATGGGTAAACACCTTATGTGCACTGTATGTCGTCTCATGATGGATCAACTGAGAGGGCAGGAGCAAATGTGGCATTGTAAGTCGGTTGGCCACTGGCATTCTTGCATTTCTAGGGTAGCGGTGTCGGTTGGGAAAGCAGAGGAAAATCAATTCGAGGATTCTGGATTTCTTCTTTCAATTTTGCATTCGTGAATATCATCGATCCTTTAGCCGGCCTTTTATGCACTTTGAAGTCTCTTGACATTTCTTTATACACTGAATTGCTTGTCATGGAAACTGCAACAACCAATTTAGACAATAGCTGCGAGGATGACTGTGAATTGCCCGCCGCATTTCTCCGCTTGGTGGACAGCCGTATCAGTGACCAGACTCTTGAAGAATTTCCGATCTAGGAGCAAGAAATCTTCAGGATTGGACGAGACCCGGATGCCAAGTAGGCTGTGGACTAATATTTGGTCTGTGGAGTTGCGTTGCTGACAATGCTCGCAGCTCGTTCTCTATTCAGACCGACTCAGAAAGCCTCGTGTCACGGAATCACTGTGAAATATACGTGATTGTCTACGAAGCATCAGTCAACCACGTCTATGTGCGAGATCGCAAGTCTGTCAACGGAACATTTGTCAACGGCCGCATTATTGGCGTTGGCCCGCAGATATCTTCTGGATATCTCTTACAGGATGGTGATACCATTGAAATTCGCCCCCATTGGAAGTTTATATTCTATCAACCTCGAACGCCTCCACCCCGGCCATTAACGGCCATTCAGCAAGACGAATGCCGAGTTCGTCCTCCTCGCCCTGGTCGGTGGTGTTCAGTTATTCTAACAAGAAAAGGTTTTTGAAAACGAATACATCATATCTCCACGATGCCTTGGCGCCGGCGGAGAGGGAGCTGTCTACTTGGCCATCGAGCCAAAGTCTAAGCGACAGCTTGTCTGCAAGCTAGTCAACCTGGGTAGACAAGATGGCAAGATGCCTCGAGAGGAATTATATCGGAAGCTTCAGGAGATTGATGTTCTCCGTCAGCTTAAGCACGTGAGTCTGCTTCCAATGAAGACTTGGACGTCCCAACAGGATGCTAACCTTCCCTAGCCCAACATCTTGCCCTACATTGACGCTGTTGTTTCTCCGCACTCTCTGTGAGCAACGAATCTCGCACGCCCACTAGATATCGGCAAAATACTGATTATACGACTAGATACATTTTCACAGAGCTTGCGTCCGGAGGTGATCTTGTCTCCTTCATCAATCGCCATGAATTTATTCAAGAGCTCGACTGTCGAATTATTCTCCGACAAGTGGTACGCGGCCTCGCCTATCTTCACAGAAAGGGCATAATCCACCGAGACTTAAAACCGGAAAACATACTGTTGGCGTATTCACCCAAGATAGCCTACCATCGAATTATGCTGTCGGATTTTGGTGCTTGCGCTGTTCCTCGTCGAAGCCGAATGGTGACTGATATTGGCACGTTTGAATACAAGGCTCCGTAAGACGAAGATTTTATTGCGTTTCCAGCGAACACTTGGCTAATAAGTATATTACAGAGAAATGTTTTCAACCGGAGAGGGCCAAACCACCGCCGTTGATTTGTGGTCACTTGGCGTTGTTTCGCTGCGCTTGCTGACCATGGAAGCGGAGAGCTTCGAAAATCTGACTCGCATGGATCAACAATCCCTTGAACAGATGGTGAGGACCATGATTAAAGGAGTCTCGCCAAAGCATTCCTCGAATAGCCAGAGATTTACCTTGGCATGTCTTCAGCTAACACCGGTAAACCGAATAACCGCTGCCGAGGCAGAATGTCACGACTGGTTTTGTACACCGCAAAAGCATTTTGAATTCTTTCAACAGCTTGATAGACGGTGCCTATCAGACCTGGGAGACGATGCTCAGCTCAAGCCAATGCCCTGGGACTTGGCTAACCTTCAATCTCCTCCATTCCCATCAGCGCCAACCAAACTATCTACTACTAGTGCTCATAAATCGATACGGTGGAGCTCCCCACCTTGCACAGAGACGTCAGGATTCTTTCGGGAACTCCAACAAGACATGAAGGCGGCTAGGGTAGGGCCTTTGCCAGGACTGTCGTCACCACTGCATGAATCTGGTGTGCTAACATGTAAGCCTAAACCGGCAAAGGAAAGCCCCAATGTGACTCGCAAAGAGGAACAGAGCCGGAATACACCACTTCGAGATCGTCATATCGAAGACCGCAAGGCAGAGACCCGTATCTTGACACCCCATCAACTGCGAGTTTGCGATGTGCTTCAGCTCCCTCTGCCTGGCCTTGATAGGCGCCTGAAGCCACCACACTCCAAGACTCATAGACAAGATGTTTTGGCAGAGCTGAAACGACTGGACGCAAAATTTTTGACTGATACCATGAAGGCTCCTATGGAAAGTGGGCGCACCGGAGGCGAGGAACGTGAAGACCTCACTCCTGCGGGAAAAAACCAACAATCTCCCCAATGAAGATGTGTGCTGCTGCGAATGAGTCAACCCATTTTACGGGTGAATGTTTTCGGATTTGGACTCTTTTTGAGTCGGGGGTTTGAAAGGAAATGAAACCACTTAGGTAGGTTGATGCCTCCATCTAGAAGATAGATAAAGAGTACAGATGATGCTGTTCAGATATATCACCAGTTTCCTCAGAATTGAGACATTTCAACCAACACTTTCTACTCATCTACAACACAGAAAAACATGTATGCCGCTCTTTGAATCAAGTTGTCGAGCTCGCAATGCCAATACCCAAACAATCACTCTTGCTTCTCAACCCACCGGGGCGCAAAGCCCCTGACCTCAACCCACTGCATGACGCCCCCTATCGGCTCCAGCCTCGCTCCCCTTCTTCGACGCTCCCACATCTCCACGGCCTCCGCCGCCGAATCCGTGTCCGCCTCCCGCTCTGGCGCTCCATCCCACCAATCCCATATATGAACAATCTTCTCTTTCTCCTTCCCCTCCTCCTCCTCCTCCTCTTCAATGAGCTCACAGTCAACAATACACCGATCACCATCCGCCTCACATCTCTTGCACCCCCGATGGTTCAACTCCCTCCCCTGCACACTCATCGAGCACGCCAATCCCTTCACTTCGCATTGCAAACACCCTCTCAACCCAGACATCTTCTGCCTCCTCAAAGCCAGGAAAATCGGTGGCCGAATCCTTTCCCTGACGGGGTATCCCTCCACATACTGCGGCAGTCCCATGAGAATTCTTCCGTCATTGTCGTTCCAAACACCGCATATCTGTTTCCTTAGGGCAATCATTCTCTCTCGCCAGACTTCGTGCGGTTCTTCCGTGCCGTCTTCCATGCGCCGCTTTTCCATGCCGACGCCCTGAATTACTGCCTCCACCAGCCTGTGTACTTCTTCGTCGACCTCTACTCTCGAAAGATAGTTCCGCGCTGAGGTCTTGTCGCGCTGCTCTCTCCGCTGCGTCAACTCCTTCGCAAACAGTTCAGCCACCAACTTCTTGGCTTTTTTTTCTGCCTTTTCCTCCGCTTTTTGTTCCATCTGGGGCTTCAACACATGTTCTTCCCTCCACTTCTGCTCCAGACATTGTTGTTTCTCTCGTTGCTGAATGCTTTCCTGTTGGCGTTGTACAGCGGCGTGACTGACTGCGAGGAAGAGGTCTGTTGACGGGTGATCGTCTTTTATCTTCTCTTCTTTCTTGAGATACGAGCTAGACGGTTGGCTCGGATGGTCAGGTGCGGGTGGTGTTTGTGTGATTTGAGTGGAAGACATTTCGGGGGAACGAGCCTTGCGGTGCATACACACTCTCTGCCCCTTCAGATGCAGTGCCCAAAATGTCCAAGAAGCTGGTTAAATACATGATGAAAACGCAACCGGTCAAAGCCACGAATAGTGAATTGTTGTGCACAAACCCGTCATGCATATAAACTTCATTCACTCACCAATCTGAAGGCTTGTTCAAAGCACATCACAAGACGGAAGAAAACAGGGACAAACGCAAAAGTTTCCAAAAACGTTGGCAGCAATGGTATTGGTATCATGGACTAGGTTACGCGCTGAAACGCAACAATCTAAAATCATACAAATTCACGCACAAAAACCAGTCCTCGCCCATATCCGTTCCCACCGCTACCCGTGACTCTTTCTCGGTCACATAACGATACCGTCCCGTTTGGAAAAAAGATCCATCCGAACCCACGTTGTGTCCGTTACCATATCCCCCAAAAAGATAGAAAAATAAATATCCCAAAATCCAGAAAATAGCAACAATAAATGGCCAAAGCCGAAGATGGACAAGAGATTACTAGAGCTTATAACGAAAAAGAAGATGAGTGTAAAGAGGCAGAGAAGGTAAGAAGGCGAAAGGAAACACTGCTGTTCAGAGCTGTTCCATACAAGAGCAAACAATTGCTCGGTCTCTTGCTCAATCCCTTGGTCGTCTGCGCCTGCTAGCAGCTACTGGCCATCCCTGGCTTCGGAAATGTAGTATAGCCCTAGACCCAAAAAGAAAGCAAAAGAGAATAAAACATAATCAGCCGTACCCTGGCTGGGAAAGAGAATCAACGAAACGAAAAAAAAGTGGAAATATAATAGAAACGCCTGGCCATGGATATGCCTAAAACCTTCAAACACTGAAAAAAATCAAATAATCATCCAAACGCCCGCTTCCATTACCTGAGCGGGGAGTCTGTTCTGGTGCTTGTCTTTGCAAGCTGCCTCAACGCCTTCAAAAGAAAGGGGCAAAACCCAAAGAAGGAAAGAGAAAGAGGTGCTCTGGACCTCGAGCAATAATACTGGTGTCGTCCAAAATAATGTCCAGCCGTGAGGCTTCCAGTGTTAAGTAGGGGTTTGCCTTTTGTTTATCGTATCGGATCTGATGTGTGCTGCTATTGCTGCTTTTAAGACTTCTTGTTTTCTTCGCGCAGTCAGATTAAGTCGACGCTTGTGAAAGGGGACTGCGAGGCGTAACATCGCCACTTCGTCGACGGGTGAGTTGTGTTCTGCTGTTGGCTTCGGCAATCATGCGCTGCTTCTTGCGGACCATGGAAAGCCGGCCGGAGATCATAGTAATCACTGGCGATTTTGTTAGCAATTGTTCAGGGACTGGCTGGTCTGTACAAGTGAGGCGACTTACTCTTTCGGATATGAGCCTCCTCATCGCTCTCGAGATCGCTGCAGCTCTCCTTGGTTCGTGTAAGACCTGCGTCATCACCGCTGTCCAACACAGCCTCGAGCATGCGGATGGCCGTGATGTATGAAATCTCACAACCAGGCAAGTTCTCATTTGTGACTTCATCAATGGCCGCGGTTCGGCTCATCTCGAGAGCTCGGTCATACATCAGCTTTTCAGCTGTGATGCCTGGAGTGAGGTATACCTGGTCCATTCCAGATCCTGTCGAGGACATGATTGAGTCCATTCCTTGGTTTGATGGGTGGCTTGGGTGGTCCTCTGGTAGTTGTTTCTGGGCTTCGATGAGCTTCAGGCGAACAATTTCGGACTTCTCCAGCACCTCATTGAAACGCTGTCGCACCCATTGGACCACGGCGTTGATGCGCTGGACGACAGACTGAGAGACTGCCGCCGATAGGCCGGTGGTAACATCTCCCTTGCTCTTCTTGGACCACCAAATGCTGGCAATGTCCATGGCCCGCGCCAAAAGAGAAAGCGACTTCACGTAGAGTACCAAGGCCTCTTCAGAGAGTGCCACCACGGCCTCAGCCGTAAGACCTTCGTCGTCCACTGATAACTGCTCGGCTGCAATGCCTCCCAGCCCATGGTTTGTGGATGGTGCCATAGGGACAAGCTGCTTGTACTTGACCTCGGCGAACCCATAGACACAGTCACTTCGGGTGGCAAGGTCTTCGATAACCTGCGCGGAGCGGACGTCGTCGTCCTCTGACGCAATGCTCTTCCCGTCTCCAATGAGACCGGCCGAGGTTGGCGGCGTCGGATAGGCCGGGAACGGCTGGTACATTGGTGGAGATTGACCCTTGGGGCGAATGGGGACCCTGACGCCGAACAGGCGGAGGCTGGCATCCTGGATGGCCTTGGTGATAGCGCTCGAAGCCGACCCGGGGCTCGCAGACAAGGCCTTCTCGTACGACGAGCGCCGGTCTTGGCCGGCTCGACCCTGTGTGATAAGCTGCGTCCGCGATGGGGGAGCTGCGACGGCTCCAGTGGTAGAATTTGGGGGCCCCTGCTGCGAGAAATGCCTAACCAGTGGCTTCGATTTCAGAGAAGTCGGGCTCTGCGAGGCGAGCTTCTCGTTTGCGGCCAGCTCATCTGCCAGCGCATTCACTTCGACGTGCCTCCTCTCAACAACCACATAGTCCCTTTCGAACATGACATCCTGAGCCGCCTTTTCCTCTTCCTCTGTCAGAGCCTTGCCGCTTGGAATCCGAGCCTTGCGGATGTCTTGGCTCAAGGAGGAAGGCGGCGAGGTATTGTGCAAAGACGGCCTAGACACCCTGGGGTGATTCGGAAGTGATGCGGCATGGGGTACCGTCGGGCGCTGAATGCCCAGGCCTGCAGCTCCAGTCTCCCGGGGTGAGTTTGACCGTCGGTGAATCTCACCAGAGGGCGGCCGATGTCGGCCCTCGCTGGGGCTCTCCATCAGCGGCGATGACCGAGGCAGTTGCTCGCGAGACGATCGAGCAGGCGCGGGTTCGAAGCCTCCGTTTCGCAGAGAGCCAACGCGCGGTGATGTCGCCGTAGGCTCTGCCTGGGGGATTGACTTCGGCTCACGCCTTGCGGGCCTTGGAACGTCATCCTCGACCAGTCCGGGGATGTCATTAACGACGACGGGGTGGGAAAAGAAGTTTTCAAAGCTCAGCCTCTCCACAGGACTCCTCTTGAGCAGGCTTCTTACTAGGGATTTCATTTCAGATGTAATGATCACTTCTTTGGGGAACTTGATGACGTCTTCGGCAGCTTCTATCTTCCTCAGGAGTTCGACGTGGTTTCTCGCGCGGAAAGGGGGCTTCCCCGAAATCATTTCATACAGGACAGTGCCGACGGACCACAAGTCAGCCTTGGCGTCGTACCGCTCATAACGGAGGATCTCAGGGGCCATGTACAAGGGCGAGCCGCAAAGGGTGTCGGCGAGAGACGTTGAGGGCAATACACGAGCGAATCCGAAGTCAGCAAGCTTCAGCATCGGCAGGGAAGCGATGCCGGACATTGGTATCAACGAATCCTGGCTTGCCTCCATGATGGGGAGGTTTCGCTTTTCCCTAAATGCTTGTGAGGGCAGCAGCAGGAGGTTCTGCGGCTTGACATCTCGGTGGACGTAGTTTTTGCTCCGTAGAAACTCCAGGGCACTAGCCAACTGCTTGAGGAAGTGACGGATGACAACCTCGTGGAGGCCAGAGTCAGGGGCGCTGGGATACTTGCGAGCCATGTCGTGGGTGGCAGGATGGGTAATGAGCTTGTCACGTTTCTTGATGAAGAGGGAAAGGTCACCGAGCTCGCAGTATTCCATGACAAGGTTAATGTGTGTAGCGGATTCGAGACAGTCATGGAGAGCAACGATGTGCGGATGCCGTAGGGTCTTGAGGATTTGGATTTCGCCATATAGGTTTTCTTTCAGTTTCTTGTTCAGGCGATCTAGTTCGACGGATTTGATGGCCACTGCAGCCTTGGTTTCCTGTTGAATGCACAACATGGTTAGCAAGCGCGTCTCAATGAAGAAGGAATGGTTGGTGGTGAAGATGCGAGGAGAGATGGGATAGTTGCTGTCAAGCCGGCCAGGACAACCTGACCGCATGCAAAGAGGGTACGGTACACCGTTGACGATGGCGGAGAGCAAACTGGCCGGTGAAACATGACTAGGATAGGGTTCATCGCACCTTATGCCAGCCCATATAGACCTGCGCAAAGCTTCCTTTGCCAATCTCTTTGTCGATGGCAAACTGGCCTACATTCCGTCCACCCGACCGCCGGGAGCCGAGGGAGGAACCATCCTGTCGGCTCGCCATTGCTTCCTGTGTTACGTTGTCGATGGCAGGAAGAGAGCGAGGTCGGTCACAGCCCGGGGGCTTACAAGGTTCGAGGGTGTGTGCCGTCGAACGAAGCTGTCATGTAGTCCTAGATGGAAAAAGTTCCAGACGGGCAGAAAAAGAGAGTGAAGGACGGAGTAGAAGGGCGAGATTGGATGAGACGCGACGAGACAGGGCTATTAAGGCGAACGGGCCAGGGGAGATGAAACAAGATGGGAAGTCGGTGTAGCGGGAATCGAAGACCCAGAATGGAAAGTCGTCGATGGTATTATGAGGTAGACGGCAGGCAGGTGTCCGATAGGGCGAAGAGTGTTATACGTCGTAGGGTCTGCTGAAAGTTGCTGGTGACGAGGGTTAGCAACAAAGCAGATGGATGACGGAGAGCGAAAAGGGTATATTCGACGAAGGACGGGATGAAGAGGAAATAAAAATGAAGAGAGAGAAAGAGAAAGAGAAAGATGGTAGCAGGAAACAAAACAAAAGAAAGCCAGGGGAGGGTCGGAGAGAGACCGCAGCCGAGTCAGACGAGCGCCGGCGTGCAGGATCCTGTGGCCGGGTTGGGGATCGGAAGGGATAGCAGAAGCAGCTGCTGCAAGCTGGGGGTGACAAGGATGGGGGAGGGCGTGACTAACACTTGAAAGACGGCGGTGCTACGGCGCACTGGCAAGCGGTAGCTTCGTCTCGTCTGGTCTGGTCTGATCAGGTCGAGTCGAGTCGAGAGAGCCCAGCGCTTGAGCTAGGAAGCGGACGAGATGCACCTGGATGGAGTTGGC